TATTGTTGTCTTCATAGTCATTCAGAGTTCGAGATATAGACATGGTATCTTGTCTCATCAATATTAATACAAACCTTTCTTCGCATTTGACTGGGTCTTAGCCATCCATCAGAAAAGTACAACCACGAGGTATAAAAAGTAATGCCATATTAATATGCTGAGGTGTAAAAAGCTCAAGCTCTTGCACTATCTGAGTAGTGTGAAACATACCCAGGACTCAGGAATCATGGTTCAGAATGGGGGCTAAACAAAGGGGAAAGTGCTTGTAAAAGCCACATGAAGCTTAGAGGTATGGGGAGGGGGTGAAATAAACTTGTCTGGTGACTTTGCCTCTTCATTATAGGCTACCCAAGGTCCCTTCCACTGCCCACTTTCTAAATGTATGTATTTTCCCCTTTTGAAATAAGAGGTGCGACTTTGCTCTTGTTCTTTAGAAGGTTAGATTCACGAGTGTTGTAGGCTGGGAGGTGGGCTATGCTGAGTTAAAATACAGGATTTTGGAGAGACATGAATTTACTGGAAGTCAAATTTGTTTCCTTTGATGTGGTTAAGCACTTTTTGGGGAGGCCATCCCATTTCCTGCCTTCTGATTACTGAATTGCTAATAATTAACAAAGCAAAGTGAAATTTCTTGTTTTGTGATTGATATGAAGCCCTAAATGGCCTTTCATTGGGTCCTCAAGTATAAAGTTAGTTACACACGTGGTCCTTAAAACTGCTCCTATTCACAGAAGAGAGCTAAAAGCTAAATTTTTTGATAAACATATTTCCATGTCTCTTAACTTCCTGTGACAAAACGCAGCCTTACCTGGGACCCTGGAATGCTGCCTGTATGAACAGCACTGCAGTTTAAGTTCTGACAGATACTACAAACTCAAGTAAAGGTCTTCTCCCACATGGTCTCCTATGCATCAAGAGAACTGAACAGCCCACCTAACCGCATATATCTAACCTCATAGTTTTCGTAGACATGTTCAATCTGTTTATTAAAGTGCAAATTAGCAAGTGTTTGAAGCTGTCATTTGAAGCATATTTTCCTGCAGGGAAAATGCTGGCTTCCTAACATAGAAATGCATAAAGGTAGAAAAGTTGCTCCAAAGTAATTGTGAAAAATTCACATTTTAACCTATTTACAACATTTCTTTTACTTAAGTTATGTAAAGTATTCCAAATTTAAAGGACTGAAGATCAATTACATTAACATTATTTTTACATAAAAATCTCCTTCTTAGTTCATATGAAGCAGCCCTCATCCTTTCTACCTCCACTGTTATCAGAAGAAGGAAGGAAGGAAGGAAGGAAGGAAGGAAGGAAGGAAGGAAGGAAGGAAGGAAGGAGGCAAAAAGCAAATGAGATTTTGCTTGATTACCCTCATTTGCCCTTGCTAAAGCACCACCTGAACCACTGCAAGTTTTCCTTTTTCTTGTGTCTGCTTTATTCCTTTAGAAGGCTGAACATTTCTTTCTACTGCACCTACTCCCTCTCCTCCAGCCTCTCAGCACCCATTGGTTGTTCCGGAAGCCAGTCCAGCTGGTCAGCAGCCAGCCCGGTTCCCAGGAATTCCACCTGCTTCTCTCTTTACCTAGCAAACTACAGAGTAATTACACAAACTACAAACTAACTGCAAACCAATACTGGATTGCTTCACTGTCTTTCATAAGAAATGTTTAGCTAGTAAACTTCTTTAGGTTTATTCCTGGATTTCTGATTCCAGAGGCTTTTTTAAAAAGCTTATTTGAGAAGTGACCGAGGTTATGCTCTGAGTTTTCTTTGAGAGAAAAGATAGGCTCATTACTGTCATGTCATTGGTATTCAGAGACGAGGGTCTTGTTGCTGGCTTCTGAGTATCTTCCTTGAGGTCACAGTCTGTTTTGTTCAGCAAAACAGCCCCCAAAGATTAGTAAAACTCATGCCCTTGAAAGACTTCAAATAAATATTTATTCAGGAATAATGAATTGAGGAGAACTTGAAGAAACAAGATCTTTACTTAAATAAGAATGTCGTGGATTAGTAGAGATGGAGTAGGACCTAGCAGAATAGAGTATGAACAAACCGAACATCGTGAGATGAACATACTAGTTGGAACTACGAGATATTGTTGAAGTGTCAGTTGTGGTTACACATAAATGTAGCTGAGTTGCTCAGGTTAATGAATTGTCAGTTTCATGAGACAAAAGCCTAAGCAGATGTGCTGCCCATAACCTGAATTATTTTCCACAAACAGATGTATTATATTCATTTTCCATTTGGTGAAGCCAATATGAACAAGGTTTCTATACATATAATAGCATGTTTTATAGTGGAGTCACTTTTAGAAAGAGACAGAAAGAAGTGCTTATATTATTGTCCAAGTCCCACTGAAGGCTACAAAGACAGGATCTGGTCAAGGTTTCACCTTCCGGGCCCCAGCCAGTGCCTTCCGTCCCTTCCCTTTCCTTCCTCTCTTATCCTTAGATATCGCTTGCAGGGGTACCTTAGGAACAAGCGCTTCAAGCCTGAAACTGCTTTTCCTGTACTACACATTTCTGGAGGAGGGGTGTGGGCATGAGTTGAGAAACTTTCTTCCATAGCTTGCCTTTAACTAAGAAGCTATTGGAGAAAGTTTGAAGCACCTAATTTTCAGGGATATTAACTTGTTTATTAGAAATAATACTACTTATCTACGAAAGACAAATTGGAATGCCCCATTCTTTTATAAGTGTGTGAAAATGTCCTTGTGCAGTCAAACTCTGATCTTCATAAAATTATTCTTAAAAAAGCAAGAGAAAGTCAGTGGCATACCAAGATAAAATTTTGAGATATGATTGAAAGTTTAGACTGGAAAAGTTGTAATTGTGACTGCTTTTGCCATACAATTAAATTTGCCCTTTTTGGTAGTTCAGTGCTGGGAAGTAGGCAGAAATTCTGGAAAAAGCCATAAAAATAAGGAACAGTGTGTGGCATGGCCTAGAGGTTTGCTGCAGGTAAATCCACCTTGTTGGCTGCAAAATTTGAGGCTTGGTTTCCTGTAACATTAGATCAAAATATTTGGATAACATCATGTCCTGATGGCAGTAGTAACTGGAAAGTAATAGTAGTAATTGAATCGTTGACATTCATGGAAAATTTAACAGAATTCACTGTCCCCTGCATCACTGAAAAGCCACCTATGAATTTATTTAAGCATTAGTTGTCTTGCTGTGAACAGTGAAGACAATAGCTTCCTCTAGATCCAAGTGGTTTTTAAAGGACAAAATGTAACACATGTCTGCTAAAACCTAGGGATAACTGACCGGTCTAAATGTTTAAGTACATTAAATAGTATAAAAATGACAGTAGCAGAGAAGTCACTGAAGAAAGCACAAATTAGCCTTTAAAATATGACATCTTTTCCAAAAGCACTTATTGTTGGTGCCTTAGTTCCCCCTGCAATCTAAATGATTCAAATAGATTATTTTATTTCAAAATTTCTAAATGGTTTAGGTAGTCACTAAAGCTTATTGAGATAATTTTTTTTTCTCTTGTTTCTTCTTACTACAGTCTGGAAAAAAACATCAAGAGTCGTGTTTATTTATCTATAATATAAAAATAAAATAATGAAATTGAACTTGCTTACCCATCCCACAAAGACAGATATCCTTTCCTTTACTGTTTGTTTGTTTGTTTGTTTGTTTGGTTGGTTGGTTGGTTGGTTGGTTGGCTGGTTGGGGTTTTCTTGTGGAACTCAAAAAAACTGGGGATTGAACTCAGGCCCTTGCACTTGCCAGGGAAGCGTTTATTCTACTTAGCCATCTCTCCGGCCCCCAGATATCCTTTTCTAAAGAATCATGTCAGCAAACAGCTGAATTAAAAGCAGTAAAATATTTATTTTCTTGATAAATCACTACATGAGCATATAGATATAAATAAAATATTTTATATTTTTAATATAGCTTTGATAGGAAACCAGATTTATATAATTTATATGATGGCCAATATTTCCTATAAGGAATAAGTTGTATTTTGTCATCCTTGAATATACAACTTAAATTATCAGCCTGCACTTTATGTTTTCCTAATCATATACAGTACTTGAAACTCAGATATCTATCATGATGTACAGTATTCATTAGAACCCAAGAATAACTGAAAATATAAACCATGTATGTGGGAAGCAAAAGTTTAAAAGGTTAGGGTAATTTCTATCTAAGATTTTTGGTATAAATTTTCTTATTAAAAAAGAGGAATCTAGACATATCATATCATATACAGGTACAAATTCTCTGTGATGAATATTATCATTAGATATATCTAAATTGTACCAATAAACATAATAATGAAAAGAATAAAAATGTAGAAAAATAGTAATTTGATTTCTTATTTCTATTATATATTTTTGATTAGTCAATGTCCTTTCCTCCATTGCATTGTGCTGTGTTATTCTTCAGTATGACTTTTAATGAACAAATCACGAATTTATCTGTCTGAACTTCTTATTATAATTACCCATCATTATCCAAGCGTAATGAGTTCACAGAATGCAGACCAGCCACTGTTTCCATAAGTAAGCAAACTGTAATTGTGGGGGCAAAGTGGCATACAATATTGTGTCATGAAAAATATACATTAGTTTTAATTAAGTACATTTGTTATTATTCATGTCAAAAACATATTTCATTAGTTGAAGTTGATTGAGAATATAACACTCTAAAAACAGAAAACCAATGAATTAAAACTCTTCTAAGAAATCTATTGACAAATTGAGCGAATGATTCTTGATGCACTCGTTTCTTTCTCCTTTCATTATCTTATTTGAGTCATGTTAATTTCTGAGTACAGCACGAGGTGCGGGAGATGCAGGAATGGTCTTGGCTCCTCACAGTTTTGTTTGACTCTGGTGAAAGTTGCTTAAAACCTAGCAAATGTTTTAGGATTCTGAACACAAAAGTGAAGAATTGAACATACTAAAGAGTGGTAATGAACTGATAAAGATGTGAAGTGGAATTGTTTGTCCTGATGCTGTGATTTCGCAAACCTAATGGCTCATCCGTTTTGATTGTGTAGATGATTGTCTTGCTCAGTGTGGCAATGACTGCCGATCCTACTGCTGTGATGGGACCACGCCCTACTGTTGCTCCTACTATGCCTATATTGGAAATATCCTCTCGTGAGTACTCGTCACATTTGGCAATATTAATGGTGACCAGTGAGTGTCAAGGGGTACTGAGTTGCAGGTATGGCCAAGAGATTTTTAAGATTGGTTACAGACATAAAATTTTTAATGGACTTATTAAACACTCATCCTTATCTATTAATTGGGGTAAATATGCAAATTAATATACATTACCTTTACTAAAAGAGAGTTAAAGTATATTGTTTCAATGATTCATTCTGTGCATTACAGTAATGTTTTAAATAGTCATTGTAGTATTGATATATTCTGATGTTGTCAGTGGTATGTTTTTTATTTATTGTGCTGAGGGATTTCTAAGTTAGCATTTGTGATTTAATTGTGGTCAGGTTTTTTTTTCTTTTTGCCACCCATGTATTACCTTATCTGATGCACCCAGATATCAAGAAAAGATAGCAGTTATAAATAAAAGCAATTGATCGTATGAATCATGCTTTTTCTCTGTAAGACACATACAGTGATTTCAGGAAACAAGTTTAAAGCCTGATAAAACGGTAGGCATGGCTAATGTAAAGTAATAAATAAGTAAGCCATGCAACACGTAGGACAGAGGCACACACACAGAGTCCATAAAGCATTTCTCCAAAATAAATTGAGAATTTATCCTAGCACTGCCTCAGAGCAAAGGGGAGTGGGGAGCTGGGACTGCCTTTTGGGCTTTGTTTCTGCAAAAGTGTACAAGTGCTATTTATTCCCTCTGCATGCACAATTTAGAGACTAAAGGTAGTGAGTTAGCATCTTGAGTCAAAATCCTCTATGGCTCAGACAGCAGCAGTGATCCAGCTCCTGGCTTCTTTTTCTTTTCTTTTCTTTCTTTTTTTTTTCCTTAAGCTTATATTAGGATCATTTGGGGAAGGTTCTGTCCCCAAACAGGTAGGCTGACTCCTGCCCTGTGAAGGGACATGCGAAAGCAGGAAACAGTAAGTGCTGAGTCACACACGTTCGGCTATTTCAGGATGAGCCCATTGAGCAGGCCTGCACCACGTCCTCCATTTCCCAAGAATAGAAAACCTGGCACCAGGGAAACCACCCTCTCTTGGGTCAGCACTGGTACTGGTGGAAAAGACCTTGTCTATCTGCATACTCTGAAAGGTCAGACTTACGGATGCGGTGAAGACAATTGTAGTTCTTTAAGACTGTATGCAGGAAATAGCAAGCTAAAATTAAAATCATATATGACTGAGGCATTCTTTGACAAGTGAATAAACTCTAGTTAGGCATTAAATTTCTCCTCATGTTAGATTTGGCAGGAAATAAATTAATCCATAGCTTTATATTTAATTCAGTTAAGAATTCACTCAGAAAACTGTCAGAATTATTATATGAATTTATTCATTATATGTAAATATGTGATATTTACTGTTATATATTATTGCATAGTGTTTAAAATCATTTCACATTCCTTAACAGATTAGAAATTTAGTTATGTTCTATCTCTACTCACTGGAGGGTCTGTTCTAGGTAGAGGTACAAGTGGAACCAACAAATAGTATGGACCTGGGCACTTGGGTGAGGGTGCCTAGGGTTTCTCTGGTCCTCTGGCTCTTAACTCACTTCTTCCTCCACTACACCATGGTGTGCACTGTGTCTTCATTTCCTATTTTTTTCCTACCTGTACCCTGATAAATATTCAGAGTATCTCATTAATTTTAATCAAAATATTTATTTTTAATTTTTATATATATGCTTTATATGATTTAGATTTGTTGTCAAATTCACTTTTTATGATTCATGTTCTAGATGTATAATTTCACCTGAAGTAAGTCATCTGTTGCTTTGATATATTCATCAAATTTATTAGGACCATGCAACTGCTATGTTTAGAGAGAAAAGAATTGAGTTTTGGAAGGAAAAATAAACATAGATGGCATTATATTTCTGGTTGTTAAAACTCAACTTTTAATTTAAAATAGAAGCCATTGACTAAATCCCTTGTTAAATGATTCTTAACAAGAAAAAAAAAAGACTTTAAAGTGTTTTCCCCATTGGATAAAGGAGACTACATGTTCAGGATTTCCAGTTATTGTTTAAGATTTGAAAAGAGTTTTGAACTCCACCCAAAGCTTTATTTTTTTATTGTGTGTATGTGGAGGGAGTGTAGCAGGTACAAAAAAACATATTCTAAGAATGCTTACAAGAATTTTTCTGTTTTCAAATATTGCTATTTTGGAACTCATAAACTATGCTTCCCCTCTTTCAAGAAGCCAGGCACATTCTTAATAAAATCATTTTAATGACATTAACAGATGTAAAACTTCTGTGGCTATCAGACAAGCATTGAGGAAGAAAGAAACAATGAAATATAATTTATCTCAAATTAATAATTTAATAAGTTAGTTGATGTTTTTGTTTCTTTTTAAAATAGAAACTTTGGCTTAGTTTAAAATGAGTTGGAAGAAAGCAAGAATATAATTTGGGACATTCTGGACTGTGTGAGCTGGGTGCTGGCATGATTCGGAGACCTCTGTCCCGCCCACCTGAGACAGCAGAGAGACATGCTTGTCCTTTTTTTTGCTTGCTTCAGGGCCCTTGCACTGTCTCACAGTGATCAGTAAAACCAACTTCCCATCTTGTATTTGAAAGGTTTTATTATTCTCAGTTATTTCTGCTTCTATGCAGACAATTCTCTACTTTAAATAGGAGTTACTTTTGGCAAATAACTTCAGAATCCTTCAGATTCTTTTCTTTTTCTTAATTCAGTGAGAAATTTTAACATTTGTAAGCTTAAAATTATTGTAGCTACTTTTGGCCATTACAGTCACAGGTACCGAGATCATATAGAAAAATCATAACGCCCTCCTTCAAAGTTTGAGAACAATGTTTACACTAATTAGCATATACTATTTAATCAATTAATTATTTATAAATTCACATGAAGTGCCTATTATCATACCAGAGTTTAAGTAAGTCCTACCCACAGATAAATAAGGGATATACCTTTGACTTCTAAGATCCCAAAATCTAATAAGAGAATGTAAACACCATTTTAATTCTATAATCTGACCTATGATGTATTATTGGATACCATAGAGAAAACAGTGTGGGTATGTGAGAGAGAGAGAGAGAGAGAGAGAGAGAAGAGAGAGAGAGACAGAGACAGAGACAGAGACAGAGAGACAGAGACTGAGACTGACAGGCAGACAGAGAGACAGAGACAGAGACAGAGAGACAGAGTGCATCTAGAATGAGATGTTTTGAGGTAGCCTCGTAAGTGGCATTTGATTACAGTTTTGGAGGAAGTATGGATGTTTATAAAAGATGGACAGTGAAGAAAGGGAAGTGCATTCCAGACAGAGGGGCTCCTCTTGCAAAGACACAGAGAGGAAATGCTCCATCTGGGAAACGTGTTCAGCGCAGCTATTGGGGAAGGTTAAAATTGGAGTGTACGTAGGAATACGTAGATCAAACAAAAGGTGAATTCTAGTAACATGCATTTTCTGTCATTTCTACAAAACGTAAAAGGAAATAATTTATTATTTTTCTGAAAAACTAGATATTTGGTTTATATACAAAGAATGCTCTCCTCAATACCACTAAGGGAACAGACCAAGGTGAGAAAGCTCCAGATGAAGATTGCTTTCACTTGTTCCACAGAGAAAGAGTTAGACTGCACACTTTGCGAGGTTATATTATTTGGAATATTTTATGATAGAAGATGTGACCTTGCTGTTATGTTTCCACTTAAGAGGTTTTTGAAGCTACCAGCAACTACTTGAAAATTAGAAGTTTCCATGTGCTTAAAAATGAGATTTTGAGCCAATTTAAGAAATAAACACTTTCCCACCAGACTGATTCCTGAACAGTTCATTCAGCAAGTCTTCTTCATGGAAGAAGAAATACTCTATGATGAATATGGAAAAGGATATTTACATTTTTGCTGCTGAAGAAAAATAATTGACATTCCTTGGAGGGCAGATCCCATGTAAGATGTGGTTTGTAAAGTAATGGTTAGAACTGGTGGAATTCAGGGTGCAATCAAGCAGCTAATTACTGCTCAGCGATCACTAGAAGCAACTCTACTGAAAATGAAGGTACTCTGCCATATGAGCCAAAGAATAATTGCATAATATTAAATAAGAATTAAATATTGACCGATCAACACATAGTGAGCTGCATGTCACAATGCAGAATTTAATTTCCTAACCAAAGTAGAGTTTTGCCATTGTAAACTGCTGCTCTGTCTAAGGAGTTTTCTAAGCACCATCTGGCCAACATAAAAATCCTTATGGGGAAAAAAAATCAAGAGGAAGAACCAATAATGGAGAAGTCTCTGTGGGATTAAGTTTCTTTTCTTCTCAATGAAATGTGGAAGATATATTACCCACAGTTTTGCAGAGACAGCTAATAAATATCACAGCTGTGACTTTAGGGCCATGCTACGCATGAAAGCAGAACTAAGTCAAAGAATAAAGGTCTCAGATTTTCCAGTGGCATGAAAGGCTGAGGTCATTAAACAGTGGACTGTTCCCAATTAAACACATGTGACATTCACACACTGACAGACATTTATGTGCTTTAAGAGACATTTGGCAGTGTTTTAAAAATTATTTAAATTAATTAGATTAAAAGAATTTAGTAATATAAAAAAGCCTCTGAAAAGTATATACAGAGCCAATCAAAACTTATAGGAGCTTTTTTTGTATTAAGAATGACATAAAGATAAATAATTATCATACAGTTAAATATAAACATGAGTTAAGATGAAGCAATAACATATTTGATAAAAGGTCAGCATTTCTCAGCATACATATAATTGCATCTTGCTGGTTATTTTATCAGGAACAAACACAGATGCATAAATACTTGAAACTTTTGCCAAGTTTGTATCCCCTTCTAATTGCCTTATATATAAGCCAGTCAGAAATATTGTATATCTTCTTTTAGAAAGAAATAGATGCAGTTTCTGGGATATGTTACCAACAGTCTATTTCTATGCATACATACAGAGGTACGCAGTTACCTGCACTAGCTGCGGG